GGTTAGGGTGTTAGAGCAACGTTGATCAATTTTCTGGAAGGGCTTCAGATCTATGTGGACTATAATTTCGGTGAGTCGTGCCAACAAGATTGGAAATGAGTAAATATGTTCACGATTCTGATAGCATTCCGGTTAATTATTAAGTTTTCCTTGAATAGGAGGTGGGTTCAATCAGTTGAGAAATCATAGGATCTGTTTGATTATTTAAGATTGAGATATTACTTTGAGAAGGATTTTATGGTTGGGATGCTTATTGATAATGGATTGTGATCACGATATGGGAATCTTAGGGTTTTGTTGTTATGGATTGTGGGCATATATTGGAATTCTTAAAGTCGTGAGGGAGTGGATGATTCCAAGTGGGGGAGAACCGCTTGGGAGTAATGAAAATATTTTCAATTGCGGATCAACTTGGAGTTTAATAACTAAGGACAAAATGATATATGGTTTCTAGTTGTGGTATGAGTCGAGGCTCACACAAGGAATAGTGTTCATTGGTCTGTTGTAATCAGGGAAACAAAGGTTAAGGATTCAGGCTATCTCGTTCCGGGACGTGAAGTAGAGGTAGGGGCACATTTTGGATATGTGACTAGGTTCAGGTTGAAGGTTGTGTTAGGACCTTTCTGCATGTTCTTGTCTAATGAGGGCTCTGTGGTATGAAGCACGACCCGAACGCTTGATAGGTTCCAACAGTCAAGGGGTTCGACTCGTATTGATGTTTGGTTATGTATTCTTATGGGTATTTGGCAAGACCATGGGTTGGGCCCATGACATTTATGGAAGTGTTGCAAGACTACGGGGTAACCTCAACATTCACTAGGTTGGTAGGCGGTTGTGGAAGTGTGGTATGTCAATGACTCAACTCGTAGCATTCTATAGGACGAGTTAGGCCATTGCATGAATGGTTGTAAGACTGTGAAAGGGTTACATTATAGTATGGTAGGGATCCTATGGTTTTGGTAAGTGTTAAGTAGGATATTGATTGCGTTTCTGTAGGTCGGTGGGATGATGGCCGTATGTCTATAGGCCCAGCGGGCGCTGGTCGAGAATCTTCATGTCTGAGATTGGGTGATGGAAAGAACGGTGAGGAACCATGAGCTTCTCATTCCAATGGTTGGATGGTTTCACGACGTGTCATGGACCACCATGGATTTTACTTGTGTTTTGGGTCGGAAGATGTGCCTTGGTGATATGTATGTGTGATTCGTTGGTCTTTGGCATAGTTGGGTATTTTGAGCATTATGGAAATAAAATAGATGGCTCGGTAGCCGACAAGTTAGGTCAAACTTTGGTAGGTCTGACTTGTTAGAAAGCCACGGTGGTTATTGGCAGTTACTTGTGGAAATTTCATAGTAGATCTTATGGGTGGTTACGAGAACAGTTCCAAGTGAGTTGGATTGTCAGTGATGGAGCTCTTTGTAGTAATCATGTATGAATTGTTAGTTGATTGTACCCCTAAGCACGTGGGAGTATGAATGCAACCTATAATTTTCTTCCAGATTGACCACTAATATGCCTGTGGGAGTGGTAGGATGTTGATGACTTGACAGGAAGCCAAGTGTGTATCTGATAACTTGTAGGCGATTTCTGAGTTTGGGTTGGGTTGAAATTTTGGATTAAATATTTTGAGTATTGTTATACTCGGCTCAGTGGTGTTCTTGGTCAGATACTTGGGATAAGTATGAAGAATGGATGATCATCAACCATTATATTTGTCCTTGGAAATTTTATGTTGATGGGTTCCCAATTCTGTGAAGTATAAATCAGTTTAGTCGTAGCTTTGAGATTTTCCTGGTTTGAGTAGTTCGCTATGAGTGGGATCGTACAGTTGAAGGAGAGGGAGGTGGTTGCTGCGATTGAATGTTTTCAAGTGTTTGGATTGTAGCTGGCATTAGTTAAGTTCTGCATGGTATCTCGAGTTTTCAATATGAATGTGTTAATTTTATTAAGCGATGGGAGGAAGCATGTGAAATAGTGTTAGTACGGTTTTCAGGAATTCTAACCAAGGAAGATTTCGAGGACAAAATCCAATTTAAGTGGGGAAGAATTGTAACACCTGGTTTTAGTGATGTTCTAATTTCGAGACATCGGGCCGGAATTTGATCAATTGATGCTGTTGGGCTTCAAAGGAATAGGGTTTAGGCCCTTTTTGAATATTGCCAATGTTGGATTAACTGGTTAAAGCCCTCGATTTGTGCCTTGAAGCCATGGGAAAATTAGAAAGGTGATATCTCGAGTTTATTGCATGAATTAAGGATTTTAGTTCGACATTTTTTAGTCAAAAGTAACTAGATAAGATCTTCAATACCTTTCCGTTCATATAAAGAACGCCGAAAACGGAGTTGAAACGAAAAAGTTATGGATATTTGAAGTTGAATTAGAAGATGGGGTTTTGCACTATGCAGGGCGTAGGCAAGCTACGCAGGGTATAGATGTTGAAGGAGGAATGCATTTTTAAGGAGCTACACATGGCGTAAATTAAGCTACGCATGGAGTACATTCTGACCAAAACCCTAACCCTAAGGTTTTGTGCCCTATTTAAGGGTTCTATCTTATTGAAATCCTTCCTATTACCGGCCTCCATCACCTCAAATCGTTCCTTTGAAACCCTTTCCACCAATTGTGAGTTTTGGGAGCCTTAGTGTGATTTTGGGTGCATTCTTAATGAAGGAGTCCATTGGAGGAGCAAGTGTGAGCTCCAAGCTTTGTAGATCTAGACTTTGCACCGCATCACCTATCTCCAGAAGGTATAAAGCTTACATCTTCATGCTCCAAGATTTGAATGCCTCCTTCTGATGTTTTTGAGGATATAGAGTCATAAAAGATAGCTTGGACACTTTCATCCCTCCATGAATGAGTTCTTGAGAAATAGATAACTTTATGGAGCTAGGTTTTGGTATCGTGCTCTTTGTGACCATAAAAATGGATAAAGTTAGAGACTTTATCCATCAAGACATTCATTTAGATAAGATCTGGGAGTTTAAGAGTTTGGCTTGCTGTATTAAGAGCTTAATAGAAGTTTTTGGGATCAGGGGCACTACGCAGGGCGAAATCTAGGTACGCATGACATAGCTCTACGCAGGGCATAAATTAGTTACACAGGGCGTAAGTTAACTTAGGGTGGACCGTTAACGTTTTGGCCGATTTGACTTTTTGACTTAGTATTGGAAGGGAAAAATGGTCTTTTGTCCAAAGGAGGTTTAATTGTGAGCCTAAACCTTTCGTGGGCCAGTCATTTCTTTGATTGTTAATTAGAGTTTTATTATGGATATGTTTAGTAATAGGAGGCTTGATATTGTCGGCTCGAGTGGGTGGTTTATCTTGTCTTCAGGATTGAGGTGAGTTATCCTCACTACACTCATGGGTCAAAGGCACCAATCTCGGCCCACTAGGTTGTGTTATATATACTTATGTATAGGATGTTACTATGATGTAGTGATATGTTAGATTGGTAGATCTGTATGATTACATGTACTTGTCGGTTATTGTTTATCTATTGCATATGTCGACGTAGTGTGGTTGGGTTGAGGCTTTACTGCTCTATGATGTAAGCCAACAAACCCGAGGCAATCCAATCCGATGACTGTAGGCCAGGGCAATCCAGTCCGACGACTGTGGGCCGGCGGAATCTAGTCTGATGACTGTGGTCCGGGATAATCCAGTCCGATAACTGTGGGCCTGGGGTAATCTAATCCGATGACTGTGGACCCATGGGTAATCCAGTCGGATGAATGTGGACCCAGTATGCATACTTGTATATGTATTGTTGTGTGGGTTATTTTAGGGAAACTCACTAAGCTTCGTGCTTACCCAGTTGTTTATAAATGTGTTTTAGGTGTCATCGATGATTGTGGGAAGACGAAGGCGTGATGGTACACATCCTCCTGCTGATTTATGTTTTGAGAGATTTTTGATACTCTGATTCTATGGATTTGATTTTAAAACAATGGTTTACTATCTTATGGTCTTGTGGGAATGTTTTATAAAAATGAAAAAAAAAATTCATGGTTTTTGGGATGTTACACATTAAATGTATGGGATGATGATTATTTATTTTATTATTTTTAACAAACAAATTAAAATATTAAATTGAGTTTTAATTAAAACTGTTTTTTTTTAAATTAATCTATAATTGTTTTAAATTAAAATGTGTTTGGTGAATATACTGTATGCATCTAATTTATTCGTCACACTAAATTTTTGTAAACAAAGGTAACACAAAATTAACACCCTAAATTTGAATTTTACCATCAAAAGAGTTGGGTCAACTTGTAGATATATCTTTAGACATAGTTATACCTAACATTATGGCATCCAAATATGAATTTATGGGTCCTGGTCAGACCTAACTAGTAGATTTACATGTTCTTATTGTGAATGATTTAACTGGGGCCCTCATCAAGATGAGACTAAAAATGAAACCACTTATTTACTTTCTAAGTCCCATAAAGACATGAGTGTTGCATATAGATACAGTTGGTGATCTTTTTCTACCGATCAAACTTATTGTTATATGTATGATCAATAAAGCAAAACAATAAGACCTTAATGTGAATATTAACCTTCAAAAAGCTCAGTTTATCACAAAACATATGGGTGATTAATTTGTAAGGAATTTAATATCGAAAAATACTAAAATATAACATTTTATTTCTTTTTATAGATGTTAATTAACTAGATGAACACACACAAACTTAGTTTACATACTCTAATCACACAAACACCAAAGTCTTTAACAATTATATAAAAAAGCTACCTAGCATCCTCCTATGACTTGATCACAAACATTAACCTATAGAAACGAGAATGAACTCATTGAAAACATCGTTAACCACTTAAACTTGATGTTTCTTTTATTAGTATGGTTTCTCTTTAAAGCTAGGAATGTAACCTAGAGTCCAGTCTTGGCCTTGTTCCGTTGGGATGATTGCATCATTGCTATCTTGATTCAGATGATTAGGAGGTCCAATTGGTGGGAAGTCTAGCCAACTCCAGTTACACTAGTTATCATTGATCATCATGTTTACACCCTCAATATCATTGTTTTGTGATATGACTTCCATATCTAGAACATATTCATCAATATTGAAAAAATATGATCACAAATCTTAATTGAACTAACCGTTACTGATTCATCAAAATAAAATATACTATTTCGAATAAAAAACATACCATTTGGTAAAAAGCCAGAGGTGAAGTCATCCATAAATGTCATATCATTACCATTTGGTAAAGAAAGATGAGAGCACTGAACCTCACTTTGTAGGTTGTCTATTGATTCAAAAATTGTGCCAGTTGAAGGATCGGGTGGTTTGGTATATGAATCATCCCAAAATTCTTCAAGTTCTTTAGGGGGTCCGTTTGGTGGGATTTCTAGCCAACTGCAGCTATCATTGTTCATCATGTTTAAATCCTTCAAAATATCTGCTTGCGATTTAAGTCCCATATCTAAAACATCAGGAAAAATATTATTTGATTGGACATTAGAGATTTATTAGGAATTATATATTTCTAAAACAACAAACTTACCAATTAATGAAAAGCCAGAGCTTGAGGCATCCATAGATGTCATGTAACCACCATCTGGTACAGATACTATATTACAATTCACATTATTCATGTGAGTCGAAGAGAAAGTTGGTGTAATTGATGGAACAAATGAATGGATTGAAGGGATATCTAGTTCAAAAATTTTAGAGAAAAAAGCATCATCCATTTGAGAGATAGGATTCATGCCTAATGAAGTGATTTTTCGGGTTTTATCAAATAGATGTATATAAGGTGAGCTCGAAAGAGATAAGTTTTGAGGGGGTGACATTGTAAAGGTGATTCCATCATTCTTATAATTATTAAGTTTGGACTCAGACATGAAATAAAGGTGATATGAAGATGCAAGTAGAAGTGGGTAGCTTATTGGGTCCATTAGAGACATAAAGTCGAAGTGAATGCAATCAGGGTTTGCCTGAACTGAGGATGATGATGATGATGAAGCGGCCATGTTTGTTTGATGCAAAAAAGATGTTGAAGCGGGGATGCAATTGACACTAGGGTGTTCTACATATGATGAAGATAATGAAGACATGCTTGGGTTGAAATCAAGCTTTTCAAGGAATGATGATGATGATGATGATGATGACGATGATGATAATGATGAAATATAAAGTTGTTTTTTTCTTTGTGGAGGTTTTTCTGGTTGCGGATGGAAAAAGTCTCGACGCTTAATCTGTTGATGAATTCCAGGAGGGTAAACAGGTAATCCATTACGAACTCGTCTTTTAAACCTGGTGTACCAGTAATTTTTGATCTCGTTATCTGTACGTCCTGGAAGCTGTGCAATAAATAAAAACACACATTGATCATAGAAAAAACTTGATCAAAATGAATTGAAAAGATTCAAATGCACAAATTACACCAATATTTCTTACTCTCTACGGCCTATGCCTAAAAAAGGTTAAAATCTTGAATCTATAGATATAGATATATATATATATAGAATATATATATATATATAGATATATAATATATATATATATATATATATATATAGATATATATATAATAACCTACATAAATATTCATATTTCCTCACTAATTTGATTTATTATTATTATGTATTGAAATTAATATGGTGTAATTTGAAAGGTTTTACAATTTAATTCTTAATAACTTTTTTACTACTATAAAAGAACTCAATTTTTTAAATAACACAAACACAAATCACATAAAACAAATCATAGAGAAAACGAATATAAAGAAGCACGAGAAAGATTTTTGCGTTCGTTCAAGTTTTGTTTGACCAAATTTCGAGACAAAGCTACAATGTTAAACCTTTTTTTATATGAATGTTATATATTAGTAGAGTAGTTTAATAGTTTTAAATATGTTTCATATGTTTGACCAAATTTCGAGGCAAAGCTACAATAATGACTCCTTTATTATTATATTTAGTTATGTTTTATGTCTATTTTATAATTCAAGACAAAAATTATTTAATTGGTTGATGATTTGAATTTTTATTTGAACATTTTTATATTATTAATGATAAATTATCATATTAACATCTCATATAATACAAGATTTGATATTTATAACTTTGAATGATTTTTGTGACTACAAAAGAAGATATTAATTATTTATTTGGGTGTTTAAAATTTTAAAATAAATGTATGCACATTTATTTACCTAAATAAAACATTTTAGTACTTATCGTTAAATTGATGGAAAAAAATTACAAAAAATATCATGTACTCTTGATATAACAATTTTAAAAATAAAATCATATGGTTCAGTGTAGATAACTATCTTTTATTCTGAATTATTATATGCTTAACTTTAATAGATGATATAGAGATATATATGATATAGATATTATATATAGATAAAAGGCTAAATACAAAACTTAAATCAAACTATTAAATAAACTTAAGAATTATCCAAAGACTATTTATATTTAAATATTATTAAAGTTCTATATTGATTTGAAACCTACTTAACTCTTCAATTTTCCTCATTAATTGATATATGATTATTAAATATCCAAATTAATATGTTATAATTTATGATGGGAAATTTAATAGGTTTTAATTAATTTAATAATCAATTAAGTATTTAGTAAAATGTTTTACAATTGAATTATTTGTAATTTATTATTATTATAAAAATATCAATTGTTTAAGTAAACACACACATAAAGAGATAAATCATATAAAAAGTCATTGAGAAAATGGATATAAAAAAGTATTTAGAAAAATTAAAGCTTTTTGCAGGTTCAAAGTTTTTCGTTATATTTTGAGGCAAATTACAATATTAAACCTTTTTAATTTGTACGTTTGTTATATATTATAAGAGTAATTTATTTGTTCATGGAAAGTTTCATTTTGAGCAATAATACGATGAAAATAAATCTTAAATGACTTATTTAATAAACATATAACACTTATTAGACAATAATAATAAAAGTATAATATTAGGTAGAAATTTGAAGAACTATGAAAATTTGAAGTAAATATCATGCAACTAAAATGAAAGATATAAGAGAACGACAATGTTTAAATGAACTTTTTATATTTAAAATAATTATTATTTAGATTTAATGGAAATACTTTAGTTATTTTTCACAACCTATATTTGTTATAATTTTTAAACAATATAATTTAATTACCGCGCAATACACGGGTATTCGCCTAGTTGTTCACATAATTCAAAAAATCTGTAATTAATATGATATATATTATTCCTTATTTAATACTTAAAATTGTCTTTACAATATAACTTGCAGACTAAAAGTTACACCTAAGATGATGAAACACAATTCAAATAGATACTTGGTGTTTTTTGTACTAAATTTTTAAATCGGCATTCATCACACAAACGTATACATAAAATATTATATAAATCCAAAATCCAAAATTTATATGTAACAAGTATACAAAACAACTAATCAAAATTTCTTAAAATAAACAAGAATGTGAAATTTTTAGTGTCTATTGTTTGACTATATAAACATAAGAATCAAACTCCGAAATTTTAAACCATTATAAACAATTTAGTCACATAGGTTTTTTTATTTACGATAAACAAGAGATTCAATGATAAGAAGTTATTTTAAAATTAATAACATTCTAGATGTGTAAAAATTGTTTTTTTTTTCCAGTTATATTTGTGTTTACATTTGTTTTTAGTTTCATGAAACCTTATATAAAATAGATAAATAAAGGTATGATATATATATATAATATATATATATATATATATAATATATATATATATATATATATATATATATATATATATAATAGAGAGGAGAGAGAGAGAGAGAGGAGAGAGAGAGGAGAGAGAAAACAAATGACAAGAATCTATAATTAATATGATATATATTATTTCTCATTTAATATTTAAAATAGTTTTTAAAATATAACTGGTTCACTAAAAGTTACACTTAAGATAATGAAACACAATTTAAAAAGATAGTTGGTGTTTTTGTACGAAATTTCTTAATTGGAATTCATCACACAAACGTATACATAAAATATTATATAAATCCAAAATCTAAAATCTTTATGTAACAAGTATACAAAACAAATAAACATTTTCATTTTAAGAATAGGCATGAATGTGAAATTTTTAGTGTCTATTGTTTGACTATATAAACACAAGAATCAAACTCCCCATTATAAACAATTTAGTCACTTAACCAGGTA